TGGCACTAAGCCTTTTCTATATCCCCAAGTCTAATTTACCAACTGCCAACCAATGCTCCAGTTTGCCATTGACAGCAGTAGTAATAAAGAAGGGAGAAAAAGTTGTAACCCTATGGCTTTGTATTTTGGAACACCCAAATATTTTTGATCATGGAGGCACTGGTCCCGTTTCCCTGGASATTTAATTCCATTCACCCTTAGATGTATTCCTTGTGAAACATTTACACAGTAATATGTGCTACACCATTTAAAATTGTTAATTGGAGATTGAATTACTTGTCAGCTTTTAAAAATGTAGTCCTCTCAGGTCAAGGAAGAGGATGTTAGCAGCACTGAGTAGATGAGCTATTACATTTTTTTCTTCCCCTTCCTCCCCCCACACTTCATTCTTTCACCTCTTTTGTTCCCATCTTATCACTTTTCCCCTACTTCCACCCATTCTTTCTCATTGTCTCTCTCTCTGTCTGCCTTAGCCAAACCTTTATCAATAACCTGACGGATCTCAGAGTGACTTTAATACCTAGAATCCTGGATGAAGTCCAGTGATGATGATAACTCAGCAAATTYACCAAAAAACCCTCCTGAAATTCTCTTGAGAATGGAAGTGTCCTAATGARGATTGCAGCAAAGCTTGCATAGCTGAATTCATGGGTGCAGGAGGAATTTTGTACTCTGATTCTTTAAATACAAGATGTTCTAACCTACTGAGGTTGTTTAAGAGGGGAAAGCAGCAGTAGCTTTTCTCTTTTATTCCATTGTTTATACATCATTATTTTTCACATCTTAGCACATGATTGCAAATATTTGTATATAAGTCTAAGAGTCTTAATGTGTGTATCAGGATAAGAGCAATTCTTTAAAGATTGAGCTAAATTGCATCTTTGAAACTCGTGTATCTCAATGCCTGTGCTGACAAATATCCTGACAAGTAAATACTAYGCTCATTCAGTGTTACATAGTGATTTCATTTGCACAAAACCTCACAATGCTTCGCCACTTCATTCAAATGTCTGGAGTACTGGGGAAGGGAAGAACATGTTTATCTTGATCTCCAAAAAGGGATTTAAGGGCGAGAGCAGGCTGTATATTAGACTGTTTTCATTGCCTGTCAGCTGTGTAAACCTTAGCTGTCTGCAATGTCTCTAGATAAGCAGCAACAGCAGCAGAGGTCTTAGCATGTGTGTATGACTGCATTCATTTGTACCTTTTACACATCTGAACATTTCTAAAGGCTCTGTGGCATCTTTGGTGGAGCCTTTAACAATTGCCTCTCTGCTAATCAGTAGCTTTTATGTGGTGCCCTTAATTCTCAAGTCTGCCAGCTGCAATGAATGAAACACTGGATGAGGCTTACATTTATGGAGAGGCTGGGTAAAGATCTTTTCTTTTCTCAAGTTCAGCCCTTACCAGTTCTGTGGCCTGGGTACCCTTTAGCAGAGGACCTCAAGATGGTGTTGTTCTTCCACTTAGATCTGGAAGGGAACAAAGCAGGCCTTGGGAGCTTCTCCTCTGTTTGAATGGCTCCTATGTTTAATAGTGATGCTTGGGGGCAGATAAATTAAAATTTATTTCAAATAGTAGAAAATGTCAGAGGAATAATTTGAAAACTCTGGCAAGCAACTCAACTAATATAGAAATGCCTATGTCAAAGTTTAAAAGAGTGACAAATGAAACCCACCTAGTTCATGAAAATGTGATGCGGGCTGTTGACCCCAGGTTATTCTGTAGATGGTTGGTAAGACAACTTACTGAGGAATAAAACAGTGGTTCTTTGTGTTGGGCCATCTTATCTTCCTAGGTGTCGATTAGGGTCTGTGTGACTGTTCTGGCATCATCATTTCAGAGTTAGGCAGAATGAATTTTGTCCTAGCCCAGATTCTGCTTCCTTGGTTGGAGCTTTTGTTGTGAGGTATTCTAAAATCATTAAAACCACTTGAGTCAGCAACGACCCCTATAAATCAGGAGCCATTGTGTGCACTCTCATCCTACTGTGCGTACTCCAAAACCTCCAGCCTTTGAAGATGAGCCSGCGGCACTGCTTTCCCCTTGCTGATTGTTAAGTATCTGTGATTGTTGGCATTTGTAAGTGGACAGATTTCATTTCAGTGTGTTGGTCTCCACCCCACCTTCGTTTCCCTAAATAAGGCTGGTCAGAGAGCTATTAGATAGTCTGTTACTCTATCCTATGGTTTTTCTCTTTCATTTCCAAATTAAATGAATCTTCACACACGGCAAATATTTCTTTAGCCCAGAATTAATGTTCTTGGTTGTGTTAAACCCTAGTTGGGTTTCTTCAGAACCCAGAGGAGAAGAAACAGAAATACCGCTGCTTTTTCAGAACAATGCCAAAGCATCAGTCTTGAGTTTTAGCTTGCTAAAGGAAGATGTGCTATGTTATTGAATCTTGCTGTTTCAAGTTTGTCTCCTGTTGTAAAAACACAAGATAGAGTTGCTGGGAGTGTAACTCAGCAGTAGAATAGATAAGTGGCAGAAGGTCTCTGGGAGTAGCCTGGTTCTGAATGCTTTCCTATCCTTTGAAGTGAAGGGGCAAAGACATCTGAGAATGGTGCATTTAAACCATGAAGCAGCTCTTGGTCTGCTTCAGTCCTTTTTTCTGAGCTTTGTCCTTGATAAGCTGGTCCATTACTAATTGGACATTATCAAGTACTAGAGATTGGACAGAAAATAGTGTTTCTTAGCAGAAAATGGCACCTCTCTTACAGGCAACAAGGAGTAGTTGGCTCCTGACATAGATTGTGAATATCAGATATTCAGGGTCAGCACAGTGTCTCCTTTTTATTCCTTTTCCCCCTTTCCAATTTTATTTTAATAATTAAAAATACTGCTGATCACACTGAATGACTTCTCGCAGAGAGGCAGTCTGTCCCAGAAGGACCAGTTGTGGGCCATCGGGTTTATGACGACCATAAAACCAGAGCCAGATCAGAGCGTGGCCTCCCTGAGTGACAGGTTTTCTGCCTCCACCAAGATCTCCCATCAACTGACTGCTTTGGATATTTGTTTTGGTTTGATTTTTCTCTTCTGTTTTGTTTCCTGATGCATGTGTGAGTGTGCATGTGTGCCCACATTTAAAGATATAAATGAAACAGGTATGTAATGCCCTCTGCCTGTTAGAAAGACTAAAGCCATAAAAATAACAAACGGCGTGTATTTGCTAGAATGTCAAAGTTATGAGTTTATTTTGTAATGATGTGCTCCTGCCTTCATGAGGTAAACTGGCCGTGGCGGAGGTGTTATTAGTAATATGGACTCAGTGGAGCAGAAAGCCGAGTGACCGAGAGATCAGTGTATCAGTCAGAGAGAGGGCAAATGGAAAGAGACAGCAGGAGAATGAGAAAAGAGCCGCAGCGCCTGGGCTAAGATTAAAGATGGACTGAGGGGAGGATGGGAGCCCAGTGGTCAGATATGTTCTCCCCTGTTCATGGGGCTCCTTCAAAGGAGCTGCCAGCAGCTTGCTCAGCTTGGGGCTGCCTGTAAAGGCTTGTTCTCTGTGCTTCCTTATCAAGGAAAGCAGTAATCTGAGAGCAATTTTGCTTTCCATATTCCTTTCAGAAAAGTCTCTAATGCCCTTCCTAGCTGAAGTTAAATGGAAGCAAGGCCAGCTGGGTCACAGTGAGGTTATTACTTTGGTCACCAACTTCCACAGCCTTGGGAAGGTCTTGATGTAGGGGCTGACCCAGCACGCAGTGGAACCTCTCAAAGCTCCTAACAAGAAGGGGCCAATTGGGAATATACAGGTACAATTTGCCAGCCCTCAATTTATTAGGTTCTCCCCAGAGACTGAAAATGAATAAAAGTTAGTAAGGAAGAAATTTTGTGTTGTCGTTATTTTTTAAAGGAGGAGGAGAAAGGGAAAAGAAAAGGGAAAATACAGTAAGTGCTCCACAACTGTTTAGAGCTCTCCAGGGCTACCCTAGATGACTGGCAATTACTATACACTGAGCAGTTTGCAATAGTCAGTGATCAGGCCGCCCGGCTTCCGTCTGTTGGGTCAGAAAACCTCCCTCCCTGAAAGAAATTATTAACCGATCTTCAAGGAGAAAAGAACCCTACAATTTCTAAGTCCAAGAATTCTTTTCCCCTTTTTCTTCTTTAAAGGAAACTTTGTGGTTTGCAATTGCAGGTGCCCTTTGACCTGACAAGGGTTAAACTCCTCCAGAGAGACAGAGAATGAGGCCCAGAATTTCCTACAGCCTTGGAAGGGAAAGGCAGAGGGGAAGCAGGCTTGGGAATAAATCATAGTCCTGCACCCAGCACACAGAGAGGATTTGAGACTCAGGGGTTTGTGTCTGTATCATTGGTTGCTTCAGGATTTTTGCCCCCCTTTAGGGCTTTTGAATGGGAACCTGCTTTTAAAATCAAAACACAAGGGAACTGGGGATGTAGTTTGTTGATAGAGTACTTGCCTAGCATGCACAAGGTTCCTGGGTTCAATATTCAGCACTAGGGAAAGAAGAAAAAGAAAAAACCAAAATCAAATGTGAAGAAAAAGGTAATCCTTTAGGAAACAAATGAGGAACCCAGACCCCCACAGGGTTTCTTTAACTGCGGCTTGTCAAAAGACAGGCATGCTATCTTTTTTGTTTATGTGCATAACAACTCTGCCAGACCTACACATGACAGGGTGGCCTGTGCCTCAGGGTCCCAGCCTACCCATCACTGCAGTTTCAAGTCAGACTCCAAGAATGCTATTTCTTTTTCTCAAAGACATCTTTTGCCTTCTACCTGTCTATGGTCGCTAGTAGAGAGAAAAGCTTGCTGGATTTTAAATTGCAACCGTATATGTGATTGTTTAAAACTCTTTTTGTTTTCTGAGTTTTCTTTTTAGGAAGAAGATCCTGGTAGTCACTCAGAACAACCCACAGAGTCTGGGATCTCTGTCTTGTGATGAAAAGAACCTATTTCAGTGAGAATTATGAAATAAACTATGTCTTTACTTTTTTAGAGACAAATGTCCTTTCTCTTGCTCATTTCTCCAGGTCCTTGGACGGGAAGTTTACACCTCCAATAACCAGCTTGGGGGCATCCAGATCATGCACAACAACGGGGTAACCCACTGTACCGTTTGTGATGACTTTGAAGGAGTTTTCACTGTCCTGCACTGGCTGTCATACATGCCCAAGGTGAGTCCTTCCTTCCAGCAGATCCTGCCATTTCTAACATGGCTCATTGTCTCTATGTTTGAAGTCTCATCTTTAAGGCAGAGGAATTTTTTATTATGAAATATTTCTCTGAGAGCTCTTGATTTCTTTTTCTCAAACACATCTTTTGCCTTCTACCTTTAAAATGTCTCTGGATTTCATTAGGCCTGTTTCTGGTATTTTCCAGCCAAGAATGCCTTCATGTCCTTTCTAGACTCAGATTCCAGCATATTAAGGTTTCCTACTCATTGTTGGGTTTTCTCCTTTTGTAATAGTCATTCATTCTCTGGAGAGCTTCCCAGAAAGCGTGGACACACTGAAATCAAGAGTCAAAATGCACCACTTTGTGCCAGACTTCTAAATGAGATTAAGACCTGTGCATGTTCCTCTGTGCCTGGCACATAACTAGGATGCTTCTGGCTGGTGATTGGGACCAACGCGTCTAATTTCTGAATGTGGAACCTGCTATCTTTTTTCTGTAGCTGTTGCTGAGTTGGAGCATAAGACGGTTTTTCACTGATTGCTGTGCTCTTTCTCTCCCAATCTCCCTTTAGAGCGTGCACAGTTCAGTTCCTCTCCTGAACTCCAAGGATCCTATAGATAGAATCATTGAGTTTGTTCCCACAAAGGCTCCATATGATCCTCGATGGATGTTAGCAGGTCGTCCTCACCCAAGTATGTATATGTTTGAAGACTCTGTGGTGCCCTGGCTCTCAAACTTTTAATCTTCTTTCAATCACAAGTCCTACATAAAAGCATGTGACTAAGAAAGCAGCCAAGCCAGGTGCAGTAGCACACACCTGTAATCCCTGCTACTAGAGAGGCTGAGGCCAAAGAATTGCAAGTCTGAGGCCAGCCTCAGCAATTTAGTGACCTCATGTCAGAAACTAGTAAGGGCTGGGGATGTAGCTCAGTAGTAGAGCACCCCTTGGTTCAGTCCCCAGTACTGCAAAAAAGAAAAGAGGAAGGAAGGAAGGAGAAAGAGTACACACTAAAGCCGGATCAGATGGAAAGAAATTCATATATATATATATATATTATTTGAGAGAGAATGAGAATGAAAGTTCACCATTTTACAATCTCAGAGAAGTTGAATGATCTGTGTAAGGCCACACAGCTATTACTTTAGAGCTCAGGCTTCATCTTACACCTGACTGTAGATATTCTAGAAAAATCAACAGTTAATGTTGATTTCAATGCCTTTTCTTATTAATCTTAATAAAAAATTTCTTACACTGGCAGAAAAATCACTATAGTAGTTTTCTCCTTGCCTCTTATTTTTTATACATGATTATGATAAGAAGTATGTGCCTAGCACACCTATCAGCCTTAAAATTCAGGACTTTTATGGAAATGAGGTGAGCCTCTTTTCTCCTGAAAATCAGAACAAGTCTCAACAAAAGTTCTCCTGAGAAATCTAGGGAACCATCTTAACAGCWTCTAAGTTCTATGTCTGACTGTCTCATCTGCACTGTGGGGACTGTGAAGCCCAACTACAATAACCAAGAGTTCACTCTACCCTAATCAACATATAAGGCAAGAGGGTTTTTTATTTTATTTTTATAGTAATTAAAATAAAGTTTAAGCCTGGTGCAGTGGCGCATGCCTGTAATCCCAGCAGCTCTGGAGGCTGAGGCAGGAGGATCGTGAGTTCAAAGCCAGCCTCAGAAACACAGAGGCACTAAGCAATTCAGTGAGACCCTGTCTCTAAATAAAATGCAAAATAGGGCTGGGGATGTGGCTCATTGGTCGAGTGCCCCTGAGTTCAATCCCAAGTACCAGAAAAATAAAAAATAAAAATATAAAGAGCTGCAACATGTTTAAAAATAAAGATAAATAATGACAGAAAATTATATTGGGGGGTTGAAATAGGAACAATAGATTAGCATTTTCAGGTGTTTTAGTCAGCTTTTTTGTTGCTATGATTAGGCAAGAAGGTTTATTTTAAAAAGTAAACATTTTCAACCAGGCATGGTGGCACATGCCTGTAATTCCAGTGAAGGCTGTGACAGGAAGATCTCAAGTTCAATGACAACATCAATAATTTAATGAGATTCCATCTCAAAATGAGAAGGGATAGAGAGGTAAAATGTTCTACAACACCCCTGGGTTCAATCCTCAATATCAAAGAAGGGAGGGGAAGCTGCAGATTTTTTCACTTGAAATTAATTCTGTACTTCCTAATCATTATTAAAGTAAGAATTATAAAATGATTTGGGCATGTAAAGTTAAAATTTGGTTAGAACCTTCATCATTCCCCTCATTCATGGTGTGAACAGAAGTGTGGGTGTAGATAGGGGTTATCCCTGTCATTATTAATGAGAACCAGAGAATAAAATGAAATTTGTGATAAACTAAGTTTTCTATTTTTTTGTATAATATTTTTTCATCGACTCCCCAGTAATTCATCCTGCTGTCTCTGTGTAGCTAACACTCGCTCCCAAATCGAGTGACTTCAGATTTTAATTTAGTGGAAGCGTTAAAGAAAGCAGATGATTCCCTGTGATAAGTTAAAGCAGATATCTTCTAGGTGAAAAGTTAAAGTCATTTATTAGAGAAGATAGTGCCATGATATTCTTCAAACTGACGCCCAACACGAGACCAGAATCTAAACGATCAGCTTTGGGCTCACGATGGAGAGATAATTTTGAAATGGATGATCACATTTTACACTGGGGCCATAGAGGCAAGGAATGTAGAACACAGTAATTACAAGTTTAGTCTTGATAAAACACTCTCCATCCTGTTTAAGTCAGCAGAGGTTAGCTTGCTCGAATCTTCACTTTTAATTGGTTTTGGACTTGGGTTTTTACAGGGTGGAGGGCTGTGTTCAAATTAGAAGAATCACAGAGAAACCATGAGCTGAGAGGGCAAGCTAGGGAACAGTTATTTGCAGAAGCTTTCCTAGGGCCTTGGTCAAACATTTATACCTGTGGAACGAAAGTTTTTAAACTAGGATATTGAAAGTACATGTCTTGCCAATGAAGGGAATTTTCTGTGCAAGGGAGGTTAATGGCATTAAGCATTATGCATCTGAACCATTATGTTTTTGCTCTGTCAAGAGTATGTGGTCATGACCCTTTCTTGTAGAAAAGTTATACTTTGGATCTATCTTACTTTTCTAGCAGAAACACTGAATCCCTTTTCTTTTCCTCAAATTTGGGTCCTCATCTGATCATTAATACTTATTTGATTACTTTCATCTTTCCATTAAAAGAAAATCAATGGAATCAAACAAAATTGTAAGACGAGTTTCAAAATAGAAATAGACATTTTTTAAAACATCTTTAATGACTTGGCTGCCTTTTGACAAATGCTTGTGGTATCTTGAAAAAAAAGCCAAGTTGTTTATTTAAAAGCATGCAAACTCTCTGTGCTAGCTGAACCCCATCGTTTAACAATAAATGATGCTTTTGCTGATAAATGATTCTTTTTATGCAGACTAGCAAATGAAATAGGAGATGATGTCTGAAGGCAGATGAACATTCGGCTGCCTAATGCTTCCATCTATTATAATATGGTTAGAAACAACAACAAACTCCCCCAAATAATCCCCCAGATCCCACCTTAAATTCATCAGTTCCAGCACACTGTCAATGGATTGACTGTCTTTATTCTTTTTTTTCCTTCTGTAGCCCAGAAAGGTCAGTGGTTGAGTGGATTTTTTGACTATGGATCTTTCTCAGAGATTATGCAGCCGTGGGCACAGACTGTGGTGGTTGGTAGAGCCAGGTAAGAGCTCTTTTATTTTGGAAGCTCTCTTTTCTTCCATCTGAAAATAAGAAACAAAAGGGCCATGGCCATATAGATTTTTATCAGTAATGTTCTCTTCATCAAAACTTTCTAAGAATATTGGATTATAACCAGGCCCAAGGTGTTCTAACTGGCTCCCAGTAGTCATTTAGAGTGTCACTCCAGTGATGCATTTAATATAAAGGCTGATTCTGACAGTATTTCCTTTTAATAATGCTGCGAGGAAAACTCTTTGGGGGTGTAATGCCCAACTACAATAGCCAGAGCCTACCAATGTCTTCCCCTCCCCCATAGACTACTTTCTTTTAGGAACAGGTGACAAGTGAATCAGAGACTCATCTGCTTCTTATGCAACCTGAGAGAAGTTCCATCATGGCATCAAGATTACTTAAGTGACTCATGTACTATATTGGATTACAATCAGATTTGAATTGTACCCCCTCCCCCCCTCAAAAAAAAAGTTTACCTGAAACAGGAATGAGTAAAATAAGCTGGTACAGATTGCCGGAATACCCATGTTTTATAAGTGGGAAATTGAAGTTTCTATTAAATTTTAATACCCACTCTAAGAAGTGCTTCACTCAACAGCAAGCTCTGTGTGAAATAATCTGCAGCTTTCAGTATAACGAGCACCTGCCAAGGCTGATCTTAATCTAGTTCTGCACTGCGGAGACATGCTGCCCGAGGGACCTGCATCTGGAGCTCACCTTCCTCTCGGGGGCAATCAGTTTTCCTTATCTTGGTGAAAAGTGGCACCTGCTCAAGATTCTCAAACATGCCACATTGGGTTGAGATTTAGATTCTAGCCTTGAAAATAATTCTAGGCTTTGTGGTTTGCTCAGTACAGCAGGTCAGCACGCCTCATGCTGCCAGTGACAGGGAGCCATCAGATGGCAAATCCCACAGACAGGGTCTTCCACTGTGACTCTGAATAGGATTCAGGTCTGAGTTAGCTCAGATGGAAACTCACAGAAACTAGCTGCTCGTTTCCTTTTGCGTCTCAGGTCTTTTACCTCACCCTAGGCTTCTGGGTCCCAGTGAGAATTATTTTTTGTGCCATTAAAATTTCCACTGGGGAGGCAGTTGTGGGGCATGCATGAGAGTTTGTGTCCTACTACCCAGGACCTATCAGCTCATTACAAAGAGTCCTCATGTCACACTAGGGCCAACTTTTTTGAGAATTTGTCTCTTATCTGTTCTGCTTCAGTTTTCCTATCTATTGAAAACATGACAGATTGTAAGCCTCACAAAACCAAGCCTTTGTTAAGGTCTTTAAGATTTTCCCTTGGGAAATAAGAGAACAATGCTTTACACTTATGATTGGAAGAACGGGAATCATTCTGCAACCAAGATCAGTCAAGCTTGGCTATGGTTAACTCTGCCATTGTTTATTCTGACACTCACTCTGACTTCTTCCTTTCTTTCCATCTGATGAGTTTTGGGTTTCTTACTCCAAACATGCACATACTCACAAGTATATAAAACACAAGTACAGCTAGATTCTTTCAAAAGCAATGGCATTTCGAGAAATAAATATAAATGTATTCTTCTGGGATTGTTACTGTAAGTGCTGCCAAAACTCATCTTTGGTATGTATGTTTGGAATACGTGTGCTATTGGCTGTAAATTGTCTTTTATTATTCCATGGCACCTTGTCCAGGGACACACTATAAAACAAGATGTAGCATCTTCATGTGCTAGCCTGATAAAATTTATATGAAGTATAATAGAAAACAGAAGTTGTTCTGAGCTGTTTTCAAGTTCAATAAATAACTGTAATACTCGGATAAAGATGTTCTTTATTAGGTCACATGGGCCCTAATATATAAGTTATAAGTTACCGATTTAGGGTGGCTTTTGCAATTACAAGTTTCCAGTTGGATTGTTAATCATTGTGAGCAGAAATATTTCTAAGCCCTCCTGTGTACCTCCTGCTCGTTGTCTGGTTGTCTAGAGGGCTTTTGATTCTGATTCAGTGCGGGCAAGTGACAAGGGGGTGGGTGGTCTCCACTCAGTCCCCCATTAGGCCTGTTGTGATGACAAGAATCCATTTCCAGTAGCCAATGTAACAACCCAAGACCATCCTTCATGGAAAAGTTTGTTATGGAGATGGTGTGGGGAACAAGAGACTAGCCCATCCCAGCCCTAGGCCCAAGTAATGCAACTGAGAGTGAAGATTGAATCACATTTTCCAGAGTAAAGACTCACCCTGTCTTTGCATTTCTGTATTCTCCCTTCCCTCAATCTCTCTTCCTTCCCCCATCTCTGCCCCTCTCCTCTCCTGCTCTCTGATTTTCCTAGGAAGTCTTTATGAAGACTAAGTTTAGAGCGTCTCATGGAGTATAAATGTAGAAACATTAAGTACCTGAACAGGTTTTTTAATTAACTTAGCTTTGAGATTAAATATATGCCTCCAGTGTAGATTCAGAATGATTTCTGAAATTGTCCCTGTCCCATTGTTCTTTTCCCATGAAAGAAAAACTTAAGGGCCCATTTAAACCACTTCCCTACTCTTTGTACATATTTTTCATCATTCTCATGACACACCTATACACAATCCCCACTGACACACCCAGTGGTAAAACCTTCTGTACCCTCAAATCTTGCACCACATTATTCATATTCCATAAAAACTACAGCTCTACCAGCCATGGTGGTGCATACCTGTAATCCCAGTTACTCAGGGGGCTGAAGCAGGAGAATCATGAGTTCAAGGTGAATCTGGGCAATTTTGTGAGGCCCCATCTCAAAACAAAAATTAAAAGAGCTTCGGATGTAGCTCAGGGATAGAGTAGTTGCCTAGCATGTACAAGGCCCTGGGGTTCAAATACCACCAAAAAAAGAAAAGAAAACTATAGTTGTATTTTCACAGGACCAGGACTCATGAAAAGTTTCCAAAAGTTTCAGATTCCTACTACCTTCCAGACCATTTCCCTCCATATTCACCAAGAGATGCTCTAGAGTGAATAGAGAAACTTCATTTGGTAGATTTGTATGTGCACTGAAATGAGTCTAAATATAGAAGATCCCCTTGTTACAGCCCTGTTGGGGCTATCCAGAATAGGAGTGATTCCAAGGATAGTTTCCCACCATATTTACAGAATAAATACTAAATCCATATTCTCACATTTAGCCCCTAGAAGTTAGATTCCCCCCTGCTGTCTGATTTGCTTCTAGTTTTAGTCCCAGTGATGATGTGGGATTGGAAAATAAACGACTAGCTATAATTTCTACATGCATTGGGTTCTGATGTGGCTCATTTTTTATCAGGCTAGGAGGAATACCTGTGGGAGTAGTTGCCGTAGAAACTCGAACAGTAGAACTAAGTATCCCAGCTGATCCTGCAAACCTGGATTCTGAAGCCAAGGTAGGTCACCTAGAGTACATTGTGTGGCTGTGCTTAGATCTTGTTTCCCTTCAGTGCCTGAGGATACAAGGGACAATTTTAAAGGGAAAGGGCAGCAGCAACCTTGAATGATTTTAGACCATCATCTGTTTGTGTGTGTGTTGTTTGTTTTTTGGGTTTTTTGGGTTTTTTTTTTTTTTTGTTTTTTGGTATAGGAGACTGAACCCAAGGGTGCTTAATAATTGACCCACATCCCCAGCCCTTTTTGTTTTTTGAGTCAGGGTCTTGCTGAGTTGCTTAGGACTTCACTGAGTTGCCGAGGCTAGCATTGAACTTACAATCCTCCTGCCTCAACCTCCCAAATTGCCAGGATTATCGGTGTGTATTCCCATGCCTGACTCATGTGTTCACTTTTTTTTTTTTTTTAAGTGCTGGGGATTGACCTCAGGGCCTTGTACATGCAAGGCAAGCACTCTACCAACTGAGCCATATCCCCAGCCCTCATGTGTTCACTTTTAAGATGACTCTAGATAGACAACAAGTCAAATTCTATCCTCCAAATGAAATAGGCCTTTACATTGTTCTTACTGAAATCAGAAAATGTTCTGATTTTGTTGGAGAGACGCTATTACAGAAAAGCAACTGAGATAGCACTGAAGCTCATCTGTTGTAGATTCTCTGAACACACACATGGAAGAGCTACAATTAGAACTGGTAATGCAGTCTGCCCTATCTCCAGGCATGGACACCACAACCCCCCCACCACCACTCACTACCCCTCTTTTTTTTTTAACCACTCAGCTGTATCCCCAGTCCATTTTTAAATTATTGTTTATTTTGATATAGGATCTTGTTGAGTTGCTGAGGCCTTGAAATTAGGATCCCCTTGCCTCAACTTCCTGAGTCTCTGTGATTACAGGCATGTGCCATGGTGCCAATTTCAAGTTGCCTTCAAGAAGATTGAATGAGCACTGGGGATGTGGCTCAGTGGTAGAGCACTTAGCATGAGACCCTGGGTTCCATTACCAGATCTGCCTTAAAAAATAAATAAATAACAGAATTATRAATGGAGGTTGGTTCCTAGGCCTATATTCTCTCATTAGTAATAGTTAGGTTTCCCCCTTTTTTCTAAGGAACACTCAAAAAGAAGAATATTTAAAAGGTCCAGGATCCTTTCTTTTTCTCTTCAAAAGTGGTCTTGGGGGTATACTGCTATCAGTTCCCCTCCTGTATTGTGGGAGTTCTTCTCTTCTTACTTAAGTAAATACTACTCTGTTGATGTTGAGACTGAAGAGATGGTGCATGCCTATAATCCCAGCGACTTGGGAAGCTGAGGCAAGAGGATCTCAAGTTTAAAGGCCAGCCTCAGCAACTTATTGAAGACCTAAGCCACTCAGCRAGACCCTGTCTCAAAAAATAAAAAGGGCTGGGAATGTGGGTCAGTGGTTGAACACCCCTGGGTTCAATCTATAATACACTCCCATCCCCCCCAAAAATGACCTTGATAAACTAGTTTTCTTTTTTTTTTTAAGAGAGAGAGAATTTTTTTTAATATTTATTTTTTAGTTTTCGGCGGACACAACATCTTTGTTTTATATGTGGTGCTGAGGATCGAACCCGGGCCGCACACATGCCAGGCAAGCGCGCTACCACTTGAGCCACATCCCCAGCCCCGATAAACTAGTTTTCATTTGGTTTGATTGAATTTTCAGGTTTGTTTGTTTTGCAGTGCTGAGTTTGAATCCAGGACCTTGCACATGTGTTCTGCCTCTGAGCTATATTCCCAGCATCCCCATTTTTTTTTTAATTTTGAGACAGGGTCTCACTCAATTGCCAAGGCTAGCCTCGAATTTGTGATCTTGTTGCCTCATCCTTCCAAATACCTGGAATTACAGGCATATGCCACCCCATTCAGCTTGACTTTTCATTTTTCAATACATAAAATCTTGTTCACCTTGGAGAAGTTCTCCTTTAAGCTGTGTTATTAATTTTTTTAAGTTGTCAATGAATCTTTTGTTTATTTATTTATATGTGGTGCTGAGGATCAAACCCAGGGCCTCACACATTCCAGGCAAATGCTCTACCACTGAGCTACAACCCCAGCCCTGTGTTGTTAATTTTATCTTCTTTTTTGTCTTTCCCCAATAGATAATTCAGCAAGCTGGCCAGGTTTGGTTCCCAGATTCTGCGTTTAAGACCTATCAGGCTATCAAGGACTTCAACCGCGAAGGGCTGCCCTTGATGGTCTTTGCCAACTGGAGAGGCTTCTCTGGTGGAATGAAAGGTGACTAACTTGGTTGTGGGCTAGAGGGACAACACTGATTACTGGATACCACATGACATGGGGAGGGAGTAGATCCTGCAGATTCTGGGGGTATGATGACAGCCCATCACCCTAGGCTTTTGGGRGATTATGCTACTCTAAGATTCCTTCTGAATTGCAATTCAAATGGAAAAATATGGTATGTTTTATTATTCCTTACCAAATTACAGAATAATCTGTTAGTTACGAAGGTGGGCTACTGTTGTAGATTTTGCTTTCATAGGTAGATATTGTACCGTTCTGATGGTCCTAGAAAGTAGGATTGTACTTGTCCCTGTCCCTCTTTCTGGRTATGTTCTTCATTCATATTACTTTCTAGTGTTGTATACTGACTAAGATAGATACTGAAATTAGCACAAACTAGAAGAAAATGAACAAATTCTGTACCAGAGGCTGTTCTTTGTGGTAATTTGTGATACATTTTATTATTATCCACCAACAGCCCTGGGCCAGTGGCTCTAGCAGATTAGACCATTATTATAAAGGCTCTACTCTGTGCTATGGGAATTGCTTAGTGATTAGGAAGTCCATATCACCATTAAATGAGAAACCTCCAATGAGCAAAGCCACTATGGACAGTACATGGAGGGCCAAAGAAAACACTCCACCTCTTATAGTGGTAAAGTGTCCTCTCCAATGCAGAGATCCATGGCCAGGCTAAGGGMAGACTCTATATACATCTGGAGGCTGAGAGAGTATGCTGATGGGTACAAATCTCATTCATCTCAAGATTCAGAAATAGTAGAAGGATTAGGAGAATGGGAGGAAGGAGCTGACACACCTAGGGAAGTTCCCCTTTTATAGATCATCAGCCATGTGGTTAGAGGTATTTATCATTTTCCCAGTGATTTTCCCTTGCCTGGCTAGGAAAGAGCCCTGTATGATCAGGCTTGCCTTGTAAAATGTAGACTAGGTTAATTTTTATTTGGTTGATTTTAATTTGAAAAAATTCTTATTTGCTAGAGAACTACCACATTTTGTGTTTTTGTGTTTTTCTTGGGGGAGATTTGACTATACATATAAATTGTGTACTTTTTTAAACTGTGAAGGTGAATTATTTTTTGACCAAGATAATAAATCAGTGGAAATACTGTGAGACATTGAGAGTGTAGGTTAAACAAGTCAATCCTACATATCTTTACTGAGTTTCTGAGTGCAAGGAACTATGTCAACCACCTCAGAGCTAACAAAAATAAGTAAGAAACAGATATTACCTCAAGAAGTCAGGAAAAATGTCCTGGGCAGAATGGCAAAGTGATAACACAATAGCAGGGTGTTCAAAAGGGGATAATATCATGTGGAAGCCAGTGGGAGGGAGACCTAACACCCTTTCATTGCTGTATTTGAGGTTCACATAGTATCAGATTTCACTCCATCTCCACTTCCTTGACTGTAAGATGTATGTTAAGCCCTGACCGGGAAGCAGTGCCGAAAATGCAGTCTTGATGAGTCAGCCTGGAGATGATATGCTAACTAGAGTTCAGAGTTCAAAAGTTTCAGAAGTGTCACTTCTAGGAAAAGCTTCAACTCTGCTACATCTTTTGGCTCAGGCCCAGATTGGCTGCTAGCCCTGTGACAATAAGAACAACAACAATTAAGATTCACTGAGTGGGGCTGGAGTTGTGGCTCAGAGGTAGAGCACTCTCCTAGCATGCATGGGGCACAGTCATCACAACCAGCACTGCTAAGGGGTAACTTATATTGTTATCCATGTTTTACATAAATTGGGATAGAGGGTAAGTGAATTTCCCAAGATGGTTTAGCTAAACAGTGACACTTGGGAGAGTAATATAGTGATGAAGTATTGTAGACTGACTTCTTAAAACTCAGTTGGCTGATCTGCAAGCCCTGAACCAGAACCAGATCCTAGAACATTCTGGAGAAAGTTATGACCCACCTGCTTTCCCCTTCCTTTGGGGATATCCTTGATTATTGTGAAAAGAAATTTCAAGAGCTCAGGAATATATATTTTATTATGGTAAAATATATATTGCATAATATTTATCAATTTACCATTTGTAAGTATGCAGTTCAGTAGCATTAAATACATTCACAAGATTGTGTAACCAGCATTAGTATATCCTAAACTTTTTAATCATCCCCAACTTACACTCTGTACCTGTTAAATAACAAGTGCCTGTTCCCTTTTCTTTCCTGCCCTTGGTCAGAAATGAGTTCTTGGCTTAATATAGAGCAGGACCAGTTTTGTCTTCTGAATTTTGGTACTAATGAGTCTGTTTACACATCACATAAGACAGATAAGCTTTAGGGAAGATAGAGATCTATGTGGAAGTAGGAGGGGGAGAACAGCACCCTTCATATTTACATACAGGTCAGGATGTTTCCTGCATATTATCTCATGTAAAGGGACCTAAACTGAGAGCCTCTTGTCATTCTCCACATCCCTTRGGGAGATGTTTGCAGTTTTGGTTTCAATACTGGCTAGGGATTATGCAGGGAGGGAAAATAAACAATTATGCCATCCCTCAGTGCACACAAACACACAGCCAGGAGCCGACTGCACTGTGGGTAAAATGACTCCAAAATTGTGTGTAATGAGTAGGAAAAGATTAGAGACAGCTCTTGCTATGCTGAAAATTGACATTAGTGGAGGGGAAAAAAAAAAAACTCTTTACTAGTCGGCCTAGGAGGTCTAATTCGAGCAGTAAAAATATAAATAAATAAATAAAAGCTTGTCAAGATGGTATTGGTGCTTTTTTTCCAATGAGCTCTATCTGGCTGGAAGGCTATTCAGCATAATGCAAAATTAAATTATAAAAACTGGCTGAATATTTAGATGGAAGAGCCATTTGGAAGCAGTTTATTTAGACGAACCGGCAATGACCCACAACAGGGAGACATCAAGCGTGAAATTTACTAGAAATTAGCACCAGGGTCCCAGCCTCAGCATGAATAGCTTGATAGGATGCAAATCCCAGTGATATTAAGCCGCCTCACTGCTGGTGCTACAGGGTCACTCTCAGTTGGCTTTTCATGTTATACTTATTATTTTTTTCCTGGGACAGGTTATAAATAACAATAAAAAAACACATTTATTGAAAACTTTAACTGGAATGAAGTCTATTTTAAAGTCTCTGAATTATTTGGATGTTGAAATACAGTGTCTGCTGACCATAATGAACTCGTGAGAGACATTATGTATATTCAGCTTGTGTATGCCTGATGTTTACCTTCAGCTTCTAACAGATAATCTTGCCCAAGCCAACAAGATCTATTCTATTCCAGTTTTGAGAGTGTGGGGCACTGTGGAAGCATTTTCAGTCACTCTGCTTCCTTGTTGGTACATGTGGCTGCCACAGTTTATCCATGTTGTGTAACAATGAAAGCCTTAGGCAGGTTTGGTGCCTGGATGCTGAGAACATGCTCCAAAGGCTATTTGTGATCACCATTCATGCAGATGTGCTTTATTTACCCAGAATGCTAGAAAACTCTAAGCTCCTGCCTCTCTGGTGAAGAACCTATCAATATATTCCATTCCAGTTGCATTTCTCAGGGCCTGAGAACTGACAACATATGCATAGCTTTGAAATTCCCTAGATTGATTTCTAGTGTAAACCCTTGGGGATCCCCTCCCCTGCTACTCTTGACTGTGTCTTCACTCTGTCTGTCAAATAGGAAGGGATTTTAGACAATTTTATGTCAGATTGTTGCCAAGTATTTCAACCTGCCTTTCAAAATATGTAGTTTGGGATACCTGGAGTCCAGTGTAAGCATATTGATTTGTAGAGTTTGTTTATGTTTGTTTATATTTTAATAGCCTGCTTTATGTTGATGCAGGTGTTGATGTTTGCATTGTGGGTCTGTTGGTGTTCCAGGTGAGATCAACCTGGTGCTCTTTTCCTAACAATAAGAACCTGAGTAAAAATTAGGTAGTGGAATGTGGACTTTAGAACCAGAAAGACCTGAGTTTCAGTCTTCTCTCTGCCACATAACTCTTATTTAACTAAGCTTCCATTTACTCACCTATAATTTGGATATATAAATTAGATGATGTTCTTATGACTGAATGATTCATATGTGTATGTGCCGTCATGATCCCTGGTACACAGTAAGCTAGCTATGATGTCAAAAAAGAGGAACCAAAATCATTACACACAAATGAAAAATATACACAMACTCAACTTTATTCTAAACTATTTCCATATAGCATGAAATCAACTGGGTTTCTTTATTTTTTTTTAATTAAGTGAATGAGCCTATAATCTCAGCTACTCAGGAGGCTAAGGCAGGAAGATCTCAAATTGGGGGCCAGTCTGGGCTAGCTAGTGAAATCCTATCTCAATTTTAAAAAAAAAAAAAAAAAGACGGGAGATAGCTCATTGGTAGAGCACTCCTAGGTTAATCTTACCCAGTACAGCCAAAAAAAAAAAAAAAAAAAAAAGGCAGTGGGGGGGAAGAAAGGAAAATAAATTTTAAGAAAAGTCTTCCCCTTTTAGGAGTTAGATCTGTTCAATACAATACAGAGATAAATTTTAGTATAGATATGCTTGTTTTTTGGTACTGGGGATTGAACCTGGTACACTTAGTTACTGAGCTACATCCCCAGCTCTTTTTCATTTTTTGAAATAGGATCACACTCAGTTGTTTGGGCCTCCCCAAATTGTTGAGGCTGGCCCTTTGAATTTATAATCCTCCTGTCTCAGCCTCTCAAGTTACTGGGATTAGAGGCATGTGCCACCATGCCAGCTAGATATGTTTTTAACAAATATAAATGAATAAAGAGGCTGGAAGCTTTGTCTTCATTTACTTGTAACTTTTTTTTCTTCCTTTTGCAGGTAGAATGACTTTTTGTGCAATCTTCTATTATTTTGCTTTCACCTTTTATCTACACCTTCCATTTCTTCTCTGCACAATACTGACAAGGGCCACTCCTTTCTGTTACTTGTTCTGAAACTGTACTCTTGGCAACACTGAAAAATGTACTGCTAATTAGACAATTATTTTATTATGTAGCACTGGTTGAAATATCCACTAAAGAATTAATTTAGTTAAAATAATTTGAACTGAGCAATTATTTTCATAACCACAGAATTAGCGTAAAGCGCTTAAAGTCCTTTATTCCCTGCTCTTCATACAGCAGTTGTATAATTAGCAGTAAATTTTTTTGGTCTTTACTTTCCTCCCAAAGGAATAAATGTCTTTGCTCTGATCATATATACAGAGTATATAACCATACACATTCCATGTAGAGTAGGGTATGTTTCCTGGGCAACTTGAAATTTCTGGAGCCTTTACAACCCAGATTGGGTCAATGGAGAAAGGCATGTGCCATGGAGTGGACTGTGCACATTGATAGTTTGTATATAGAGTCATTTTTACTTTAGGGAAGGTGGCGGTTTAATTTGCCAGTAACTACAATGAAAGCAATTTCTATTTGGCTTGCTCTTAACTTCCTGAAAAATGCTTCTTTGCCTTGGATTTCCAGAATTGATTTATTCCAAATTGAGATCCTCTCTTTGATAGGAAAGTTTGAATTCAGTTAAACCTGTTATTTGGTGTTTAGAAAAGATCCATTGTGGCTCTACTGAAATACCCATTAAACACCTGGAATCATAAACCTAAGACTTTAGCAATACTTTAGGGAACTGGGAAATGGATAGTGGTCCATAAAAAAGTTGGGAAATAAGCCAGACATAGTGGCACGTCTGTAATCCCAGCTATTCGGTAAACTGAGGCAGGAGGATCACAAGTTCCAAGCCAGCCTAGTCAATTTGGTGAGACGTTGTCTCAAAAAATATAAAAGGGTTGGGGATGTAGTTCRGTGGTAGAGCGCTTGCGTAGCACGTGTGAGACCCTGGGTTCAATCCTAATTGCCTTCCAAAAGAAAAAGTTTGGGTAATAAATAAGCTCATCTAGCTTTCCAAGGGCTCACTTTATTTATGCACTAGCAGTCCTTTTCTTCAGGCTACTATTGGCCTTCAGGAGATTTTAAAGTATTCTTTAGCAGAATGAAGAGTTAACTAGGCACTTTATGTGGCTGTGTGATATTTTCTATACATTTATATTTAATTTTCTCTCATTGATATGCTATAAAAATTCAACTATTAAAGAATTAATTTGTTTTTCTTTCTTGTTACATTTTTTCCAAAGTATGTTATATGCTTATTCATTCCCTTATTCATTCAGCAGATACTTATTGAGCACTAACTGTGTTCTAGGCACTGGGTAGGATACTGGGGATACAAAGATGAAAAATAGTTTTCAAAGATAAATTTTTGAAGGATCCATTTCCACTAGCTGCACATTTTAAGAGCTCATCGTATGCTAAGAATCATGAGAGGAATTGAAAAGAGCTAGAATAGTTCCTTCCTTCAGAAAACTTAATGTAGTGGGAGAGATCACATATTGACATGAAAAATACTCAACGTTTGTAGAGCAAGTATGAATTAATGTGGTGAAACCTGARAACAGAAATTCAGGGATGCTGTAAAATGGATATGCTGTCTGGAGGGCTTGCACACTGTCTTATGAAAAACAGTACAATTCTCTCTTATACTTTGGAGGATCCTCCAGAGTCTTGAGTGGGATACAGGGAAAGAAACCAATCCCGTTAGTCTTTAAGGTGGCCACACAGGACATGAGGTGTCTGAAACCTGTCACCTTCAGCAGTGAGCAGCCTCTCTTGGAGACACAGTGTGCAGTAACAATTTTTTTTTCTGCACATACCATGGTGTGAACAATGTTTGGCAGCACTACTTTGGGGAAGATAAGTTTCATGATTTCTAATTTGTCTCATTCTCTGCAGATATGTATGATCAAGTGCTGAAGTTTGGTGCTTACATCGTGGACAGCTTGCGGGAGTGCTCCCAACCTGTGATGGTTTACATTCCTCCCCAGGCCGAGCTGCGGGGTGGCTCTTGGGTTGTGATTGACCCCACCATCAACCCCCGGCACATGGAGATGTATGCTGACCGAGAAAGCAGGTAGCGTGCCTTCCTGATTTCTGTTCACTTTCTCTCAGGATCCTCTAGCTGTTGGCTTCCTCCTGAAGAAAATTATAACCAAGGAAACTTCATTGAATCTGTCCATTCCCAAAGGACTCCAAGGACAGAAAAACAGGCTTTCTAAATAGTGTTTGCTGGCATGAGAAGGAAACCAGGCTAGAGTCAGGCTTTCTCAGTATAATTCCCCCATCCCAGATTCTTTTATTTAGTCCTCCCTTCCAGAACCTCCAAACTCAGAGAAATTTCTCCTCCCACTTGTTATTCAGATGTGCCTACTCATCGTCTCTTTTTTAGGTGTGTGGCAGAGGGGACTTAGAGTGAGTTGACATGGAAAGACTGGCCTGTAAATCTGAAGTTCTAGGGGTTGACGATCAGGAAACAGAGCAGTCTTCACACTTCCTGGGCTGTTTCTTATTATCTGTTGAATGAGCTGGCTGGTCACTGATGTGCACCACAACACCCTCATCTATGATTCCAAACCAAAGCTTCTTCATTCCTTTGGAGCCTATGACTCTGCTCTAGCATTCCAGAAGGCTGGAGAACACAGTATTTGTAGCACCCAAAAAACTTCAAGAGAGAAGCCCAAGTTTGTTGAAAGGTAGTTCCTGAAACTATTTAAGTAAAACAGATCAAACCCAGCATCTTTTCATAATGTGTTCTCAACCCTTTCTTAAGGAGGTGAATTCCACAGCCCATCTCCTTTACATTTTCTATGTGCATTATTACATCCAATCATTTTATTAGAACATCTCTTATTCCCTTTTTCTAAAAAATTCAGCCTTCTAATTCAAAAGCTGTTTAGGAAAATACCAGTAGTTTTATCATCAAATCCTTAGGCTAGTGTTCTACATTGAGGGGTTTATTTTTACAGCCTAAGCCAGGCCCTAATCAGATCTCAGATCAGAGAGAGTTGTTCTTCAGACTCTGGAGAGTCCAATCCTTTCACTTGCCAGGTTTAGGCAAGTCTCTTAACTTCCTGTACTATAGTTTTCTCACCTGTAAAAGGCAAATAATAGCAACATCTTATATCACAGTGGATGTTCACTAAGCAAAATATTGTGAGGATTTTAGATATGCCATTCGCATAGTAGGCATCAGCTCTAATTTTTTATAAAATACTAAAATCTCTTTTTTAAAGGTGTTTAGAACAAAGTTACTGGTGATAGAACACCGTTAGTATTCCCACTGGTATTCACTAAAAGCAACCCTGAGACCTTTCACTTTGCACATTCTCTTAGCAGTGGGAAGAATGTTTTACCTACTGCTTTGCCTGGTCTACTGTCTGATCCAAGTCCTACTAGCAGACTGACAGCTGTGGTGTAGGGTGATCAACATCAACCCCTCACTTATTCAGCCTAAGTGCTGGAAGTGGTTGTCCTACCCCTGTGCCTACAGCATCTCCCCACCCCCCACCCTTGAAAATAATGTGATTCCTGTCACCCTTATCAGCTATCATTGGTGGAATCTGTATTCTCCTTTTAAAATGGAAGTCAACTGTCGGCTAATGAGAATTATTTTAATTGCTTTTTTTGCCAGGCCTTCCTCATACCTCACTTAGATACTTCTCTGGTGCTTTCCTTTCTCCCTGGGGTGACTTTTGTGAACCATGGGTGGGCAAAACCATAATGAAGCTATTTCCTGGTCCACAAATTGTAACTGGCCTCATTCTGTTGTGTCTTTCCTTTAAAGTGCCTCTATTTCTGTTTTGTTTTCTTTCTTTCTGATCCAGGGGATCTGTTCTGGAGCCAGAAGGGACAGTAGAAATCAAATTCCGCAAAAAGGATCTGGTGAAAACCATGCGTAGGGTGGACCCAGTCTACATCCGCTTGGCTGAGCGATTGGGTATGTCTGCTTGTCCTCCTGGCAAATCAATGAGCCATTCAGCTGATTTGTAATGAGTGCATTCATAGGCCAGGGGAGGAGGCACTGAAGCATTTGATCAAATTCATGATAATCTTTATTTACTGTCCTCTATATGGTAAGAATCCTGGTAGAATGAAATAGTGTGTGTAATAGGAGGGAAAGTGGGCTCTCTAAAAAAAGCAAAAGTCACACGATTTTTCTTTTCGATATTTTCTCACAGTTACAAGTAGCCCACCTTTCTAGGACATTCTTACTGAGAATGCCCAGCTAGCTGTTGCTGTTGAGGGCAGGCTAATCAGGCGGAGAATATGTGGGATTTAAATATGTCCTGGTCTGCTTGTCTCTTTGGACAGCCTGTCTCTTTTCTGAGGGATGTGAGAGTCAGTGTCATGTATAGAAAAGCTGGAGTCTCTACTTAGGCAATGTTTTGGGGTCATCCTGGGCTAGAGAAATGGAAGTAAAGGTTGTGCACTGTGTGCTTCCAAGCAGTGACTGCCATAGCTATCACCCCGGGAGTGTCCGCACTTGATGCTTCCAGACATTACTCTGTGTTTGTTTATTTTCAGAGATTTTGGAAGGCACTTGTGACTTCAACAGGACTAAACTGGGAACCCTATGTTGAGTCTAGAGACCAAACGAGTATAAAAAACTGCTTTTCTGCTCAGGTCTCCCATTGTGCCCCTTGCTATGTTAGTAAAGATAATCGCTTAGGGTTCTTTTGTTGGCTATTTGGGTTTGGTTTGGTTTTTCTAAAAGAACAGAAAAAGTATCTTTAAAATATAGTGATTCCTAGTGAATACAAGAGCAAAAGAGAGATGTTAGCTCATTTTTGTTCCAAAGAGTAATTTAATTGCTAAATACCATTGGTGGACTCCATGTCTCCCCATCTAGGGACAGAAAAAACTGCCATGTTTGCCTGTAGTGTGAAGACTGCCTGTCCAGGCAGTTGGAACCCCAAGCCAGGCTGCTTGCCTAACATGGTGACTTGGGTTACAATAAATTCTGTTTCTGCCCCATTGTTTGCCTTTAGGTAACTGCCACCAGTAACTCTAACCTACTGCAGCTTGATCCGTTTATGGGAAATGCACACATACAAGAAGAAATTGGCAAAGTTGTTTCGAAAATCTATTGCCACCCAGAATTGTTGAGGTTTTTTTTTTTCCCCTTTCTTTTCCAAACAGGATAATTACTTCTGACCAACCCCATACACTTTAATTAAAGTAACTGCAGCTCCAGAGCAAGTTACTTACAACTGTACATAGAGAGAGCTCTAAAAGCTTCAGCCACTGATAAGCATCTCACTTAGATGGCTCATAATTGCTCCCAGCATCCAGCGATCGTTGCTGCTGTTTCTACCACTAATTCTGTACAAAGACAGCAGTGCCGCAATTGCAGGACACAGTGAATTACAGAATTTCTTTTCTTTTTTTCTTTCTTTCTTTCTGTTTTTTTTTTCCTTTTTTTTTTTCTCCTGGTTTTCTTTCTGGCCAATTTAAAATTTGTCAAAGTCGGTCTTCTTCTGGATCACTGCCCTTTGATATTTCGCGCACTCCATTTGCCACAAACAAGCCGCAGGGCCGCAGTTCATGCTGACTCTAGCAGAAGCAGAGAGAGCTCCATTTATCTTACACTGCCTGCTGAATTCCTACTCATTAACTGGGGGTTCACTGCCTCTTTTTAACCCCCCAATGGCTGTTATCATCCCTTCAGAGTAACTGGGTGGTGGGAAGAGGGATCCTTTCTACATCTGTTTGCAGAACAACTGAACTGTGAGGGGTGTGGGGCTGGAGCTTCCTTCTCTTCAAGTAAAGTGATATTGCTCCCACCTTCACCCAGCACCTCTTAACTTTTGAGGCACACAAAGGGGAGAGGGAGGAGATTCCCAAGTGATGGCCGTTTAATCATTTGTTACAAATCATCTCATTATCAATTTCTTATTGACACTAAAGAAAATCATATTTGTTTAACCTTGACCAAAGTGGTACTCAAGAAGGGATCTGTAGTCTTTGAAAGCGAAGCAGGCTTTGGCCCAGGGCAGCTTGGGAACATGAGCATTGGATATGGAATAGAAATAACTGTGTGCAAGTCTTGGATATGTTGCTAGCCGGAAAATTGTTGAACTTCTCTGAACATAAGTTTCTTCATCTATAAAGTGGGGATAACACTCCCACCTAGCTAATGTGAGGATCAGATGAATGTGCCTTTGCTTTGAATCTCAAAGCATTTTTCAAACATGGAGGTTGGCGTTATTTCTTTTCAATCATAATCAGGAACAGTGRTGGCCGTATTTGGTATTAAAAATTCTCTGTGGCTTGGGCCCACATTAAAAAATACAAAAGTGGATCCAACTCTCTGGCATTTGCAGTTTTTGAGGAATCATACACCAAGGTATGTTGATGACAGAGCAGATTAGCACACATGCACCAGAACATACTATGAACCCAGTTCTTTTGGGGTTCGCAGTGATTTTTATCTCCTTTCACGATGCCTGTAACCAAAGACTGTCAAAATGCCTTTTCACAAATTGAGAGAAAATGACTTTATTTTCTAAATTGGGAAACTGAGGCAAAAGAGAGGTTAAATGAATCTTCCAAGAAATAAAATAAAGACATATAAAATCCAAGAATAAAATTCTCCTTCCCTATGTTCTGCTCTTCTCACGATTTCCTCAGATTTTACCTCAGCTGAATACTGAGCCTGATCTGAATTAAATGGGGATTCTTTCCCTTTGTGATCTAAAGCCAATTGCACTGAGAAAATCTGATTTAAGGAGAAAGGCTGTAGAAGTAGATTTTATCTTATATTCCTGATCTCTTCCCAAATCAACCTCTACGCTGGGGAGCACTCACAGATCTCTTCGACAAACCAGTACATAACTGATTGTGTTCAAAAACATAATTATGATTTTTTTTCTCTAAGGATAGTGAAGAATATTTAATTTCTGAACAGTTATCTTCATTTCTTCCAGAATTTTTATTTACTTATTACTTATTTGTTTATTTTGGTTCTGCACATTTAATTTTTTTGGCGGGGGGGTAGTTATAGATGGACAGTGTGACTTTATTTTATTTGTTTATTTTTATGTGGTGGATCAAACCCAGTGCCTCACACAAGCGCTCTACCACTGAGCTATAGCTCCACCACCTCCTGTACATTTTTTAAAATGACCTTTTGCCATTTTGTGTGCCTGGTTTGGGTAAAAAGGTGGTAAATTACTAGTTTGCAGGTCTGTGATTTTAACAGTGTGAAAGGTCTGTGGTTTTAACAGTGTGAAAATAGTGCATACATTGGTTTCTTTTTTTAATATTTATTTTTTACACAATACCTTTTTATTTTTATTTTATTTTATTTTATTTTGGTGCCAAGGATCAAACCAAGTGCCCCACACATGCTAGACAAGCGCTGTGCCACTGAGATGCAGCCCCAGCCCCATACATTGGTTTTTGATTGACATTAAAAGGAAGAATTACTTCAAAAAGACAAGTAAAGAGCTCAACTGGTTCTGACTGGATTCTCAGAATCAGGGCTTGGTAGAGTCATTACAGAGAGGTTACAATCCCACTATTTTGGTTGCCTTAAGGAAATTAAATTCCTTCCTGGAAATAAAGCCCTAGCCCTCCAAGGCCTTTTTGTGTTCTCACTATAATCCTTCTACTGCCTCACAGTGCCCAGAGCAGAGGGATGGCTGTGGAATAGGACTGCTGTGCTAGTCTGGCCTCTCGAGTGCCTGACCTCAGCTCCTCTCCTGGATCTTTACCCTCCTCTTGTGTTCAGAGAGAAATGATAAATCAATTTAGATGGAGAGGAGAGTGGAACAGTTTTAACTTCCCCACTGTCCCTCTCCCTCAATACAGAGAGGACCGGGGCTAAAGAGTCTGTTAGGGGAACCTTGTTCTCCATCATGGACAGCTGGGCAGCCCACCATGCAGTTCCTCAGCTATGGCCACACAGAACCAGCCCTGATGGTGATGCAAGCCACAGCAGTACCAGCTGAGCACCGCTGTTGGCCCTTGTTTGGTCCTTGCCTGGGCGCAGATGGAGTTTGTGGCAGCAGATGGGGACACACATGTCTGTAAAAATCTTCCTTATAGGCCTTCTTTTTAGCAGTTAAGAAAGGACTATTGGGGGGCTGGAGTTGTGGCTCAGCAGTAGAGCGCTTGCCTAGCATATGTGAGGCCAAAGACTCAGGGGGTTCATCTGAACCATGAATGTTTTTCCATCTCTTGCATCTATATTCAAGGTATAAGTTAAAAAGAGCCATTTTGTTTGGGGCAAAAAGTGGTGCCCTTGCATGGAAAGTTGAGATGAGGACAGAAAGAAGTTCCAATATACATGCCTTGGAAGTGGCCTCTCACCTACTGTGCAGTGTCCTAACTGCCACTGTGGCCTCTGTGGCTAGGAGGCTGATGAAAAACAACGTAAGTTTTCTCATGAGGGTAGATGGGGGATCCTGCCTCCTGCCCTAAGTTGGCAACAGCTGAAAACCCACCTCCTCACTTAAATTCAAAAGCTCTTTTGCTTGAGGTAATTTAGTGTGATGGTGACAACATTTTCTAGGAAGAAGACAGTGGTCTTTGTAGTTGGATCCCTTAATCTGATTGTATTTATAAAAGCACCTGGTCATGTCCCTTCTAGGAAGCAGTGATTCCCAATTGTGTTAGGCCCCAGACTTGGCAAGCATTTTGTTAGAGTGAACCCAAGTTTCTCCCTGCCTGAAAGCTATCGTCAGAAAATGTCTGAGACCCTATTCCCCACTCAATCTCAACTGACTCAGATACCTGTATTCTTATCTGTCACATTTAGGGAGAGTAAATTAGGGAAGGGAAATAATAAAGATTGTAGAGGCAGTTCTCTTCCAGAACTTAGAGAATCCTGTGCTGTTTCTGAGTTCTTTGTGTGGATATGTTTGTGTGAGGGCACAGGGGTAAGAATGAAGAGGGAGTAATGAATGTTTTTATTTCTAGTTGGAAATCTCTGGG